AGCACAATGTACAGCAGACACATCAACACTTACTTGGGATGAGCCTAATGGCTTTGAGAATCACATATTACTTTCCTACAAAGAATTTGCAAGGTCTGGGAAGGGGCACAATAGCAGGACGAAAAGAGGAATTAAATGGAGGGTGTAAAATGCACAAATGGTCTCCATGTTCCCGTTTTAACTGTATCAAAATTTGAATTTCTTGCTAAGAAGTTACTGAATATATTTACTTATCAAATATCCCATGTTTATACTTGAATTACATTTAGTCGACCATGGTTAGTGATAACAAATTAATAATACATATATAAGACATGTTATGTATTTGATTAATAAATATCAAGGTAGTTAACCTACGCCGGTGTGTCCATGGTAGGGGCGAGAGGACGCGGAAGAGGGCGAGGTCATCCAAAGGAAGTACTGATAATCACCTTCGGTAGCTCAGTCGGAACACGTAGCTTAGAACCCAGGAACACAGATGAGGAAATACCACCGTCCCCCCATGCAGATGAAGAAAGTGAATCTAAAGAGGGGAACCAAGGAGAATCATCAATTGGAGCGATGAAAAAGCTCCAATTGAGCCCAGTAACACCAGAGGAACGAGTACATCTAGAAGTAGAGAAGACAAAGAAAATCTCAATCCCATCAGTGAAACAAAGCAATGAAATAGTAATTACAGCAGGGGAGGAGAACAAGCAGGCAGAGAAGGAAGGCACTCAAGCGTAGTTTAGCCTATTTGCTAAAAATAGGGCTGCTGAATATGGTATGGCCCTTTCCCGCCACAGATTGTCAATGGTCAAATGATTGTCAAATTGGACAAGGATGAAGTTGATAGAGAAACTAAGAAATGAAAAGGGGCTCTAATTGCATATGTAATCGGGGACATGCCGGGTTATAATGCTATGAAGAGGTATATAGAACTAAATTGGAATGCTATTACAGAACCAGATCTGTATATGCATGAAGAGGGCTATTACATAATTAAATTCAAAACGAGAGAAGATATGCATGAATTTTTTTTATTCTGGCCCATATACTATCAACAATAGACCTATTATTCTTAAGCAATGGACGATGGATTTCGATTGAGAAAGAGTTTCCAACATAAATTCCTTTGTGGATCAAGTTTTCTAAACTACCATTGAACTGTTGGGGGAATAATTCACTTAGAAGGATAGCCAGCTCAATTGGAACACCTATGTGCGCAAATGAATGTACTGCTAAGCAAATTAGAGTGTCCTATACAAGAATGCTAATTGAGGTAGATATGACTAAACCACTGTTAGATGAGATAACTGTGGAGGATCCAAATGGGAGAGTATTCCTTCAACCACTTATTTGTGATTGGAAGCCAATGTTCTGTGAAAAATGCCAAGTCATTGGGCATAAGTGTCAACAAGAAGGAAGAAGACAGGAGAAACAACATAAGGACCAAACGAAAGAAAAGAGGGGAACAAAGAAAATAGTGCAACAATGGGTTACAAAAGACAAAGGCAAAACAAAGCAGCATGTGGAAGAGGATCATCTGACAAAGCCTAACCAAGACAACCATCAACAGGTGAAAACAAATGCAATGACAAGAGTCACACAAGCAAGGCAGAATTTAGGGGTGGTGAAGACCAATATGCAAGTGCAACAAAAGGACACAACCCCAATGACAGCAAACATGAGCAAGAGCAAGCCCAAAACTAAACTACATCAACTTCCCAGTACTAGGTTCAGTGCCAGTGAAGAATGGGTCTGAAGTATTGAATAGAGATGCGAAAGTGGCTTAATCAGAACCTCCTGATATAGGAGGTAGAAAACGATCAATATGACTTGGATTGTGTGGAACATACGAGGATCGAATAAGTGATATAAGCAGAATGAAGTAAGAAATATATTGAAAACAAAAAAAAATAGGAATAGCTGCACTAGTAAAAACAAGGGTCAAGGAGAATAAGGCTGGGGCTATAAGTAAGAATATAGCCCACAGATGGGGATGGTTACGTAACTACTCAGCTAGTAATGGTCGAAGATGGGTGCTATGGGACACTAATAGGTACCAAGTAAATAAGAAAGCAGAAGGAGCATAAATGATTCACTGTGAAGTAAGAGGACATACTGCAGAACTGGAGTGTGAGATTATTGTCATCTATGGTTTCAATACTAATGAGTAGAGAAAGGAGCTACGGGAATCCCTGAAAACACTATCTCAAGGCATTACAGTACCTTGGCTAGTGTTAGAGGATTTTAATGCATTGTTGTGATCAATGGATAGACTGCATGGGAATACAGTCCATCAGGCTGATATACAATATTTTACTGAATGTATTCAAACAACCAACCTGAGTGAGCTATCATGGAGAGGTGACTACTACAGTTGGACAAACAAGCAACAAGTGGAGGATAGAATTTTAGTCGAATTGACAGAGCATTTGGCAATTATGAATGGATGATGAAATAGGGCAATTTAATAATGGAGTATGGTCTGCCAGGGATATCTGATCATGCTCCTATGTTTCTTTCTATGGAATCTGATCAGTTAACCATAAAGTGTCCATTTAGATTCTTCAATGTCTGGGCAGATCATCAAGTGTTTGAACAAATGGTAACAGACACTTGGAAATAAATAAGTGATCCATGGGCCATGAGATGCATATGGAAAAAAATTGAAAGCACTTAGACCAAGACTAAGACAGTTGATCAACAATGAATTTAGAACTGTGACTTAGAAGATAGAGGATGCAAGGAATAAACTTATGGCAATTCAAAGCAACCTACATCAGACATATAATGAAGATATGCTAGAACAAGAAAAGACTACACTACAGAATCTGAAAAAGTGGTCAATGATCGAAGAAAGCATTTTGAAGCAGAAAGCTAGAGCTAAATGAATACAATTGGGAGATGCAAACACAAAGAATTTCTCAGCTGTAATGAAGGAAAGAACTCACAGAAAACAGATAAGAGAGCTGACAACTCTGGATGGAAGGAAGATTAATGAGCCTAAAGAGATCAAAGAAGAGGCCATCAAGTTTTATAAGAGTTTAATGGGAAAAGCTGCAGGAAGCCTTCCAGCAGTAAGCAGAGCTATTATGAAAAAAGGCCCAATGCTGAATCAACAACAAAGACAGATGCTATGTGTAGAGGTGATAGAGAAGGAAGTAGAAGCTGGACTGAAAGCCATAGGGGATGACAAAGCTCCAGGAGTAGATGGATACAATGTTGTCTTCTTCAAAAAAACATGGCACATCATTGGTGAAGAGGAGACTAAAGCAGTGATAGAGTTTTTCTCAACTGGAAGAATGTATAGAGCCATTAATTGCACAGCCATTACCCTGTCCCAAAGACTGATAATCCAACAACAATCAAAGAGTATAGGCCAATAGCATGCTGCACAGTGCTATACAAACTAATCTCCAAGATACTAGCAGCAAGATTACAAATTAATTGACAACATCATTTGTGAATCTCAGGCTGGCTTTATTCCAGGGAGAAAAATAGGAGATAACATCATCATGGCCCATGAATGAATCAAAGCTTATACAAGGAAACATGTGTCACAAAGATGTATGATCAATATAGACCTCCAGAAGGTCTATGACTCGGTTGAATGGAGCTATTTGGAACAAATTATGAATCTACTAGGGTTCCCTGGTAAATTCATAGCATGGGTGATGGAATGTGTAAGGACAGTGAACTATACTATAATGGCGAACCAACAGACCCCTTTAATGCTGCAAAGGGACTCAGGCAAGGAGATCCTATATCTCCCTTCATGTTTACAATTGCAATGGAATATCTGAGTCGCAACTTAAAGGTGATGATTGAGAAGAAAACATTTCATTATCACCTTAGGTGTGCAAAGTTGGAAATAAACCATCTATGGTTTGCTGACGACCTGCTGATATTCTCAAGAGGTGACATTTCTTCAATAATAGAAGTGCAATATAGTTTCAACCAGTTCTTAAAGGCATCCGGTTTACAAGCAAATTTAAGAAAGAGCTCCATTTATTTTGGAGGTGTACCACAGGTTAAACAAGAGTTGATACTGAGCCAACTAGGTTTCACAAAGGGAGCACTACCATTCAAGTATTGGGAGTTCCTCTATCTACAAAGAAGCTTGTAGACATCGAAATTCTAAGGGATCAAGTCAAATCCTAAATTAAAGATACTACAGGACTCTTGAAATCGTAGGAGTCTATTAGGGTTACTTGGAGGCTACTCTACCCTAAACCCTAACTCACACCTATATAAAAGGATACATATTCCCTTGAAGAGGCGCCTCGAAAATCCCATAAACTTTTGAGATATTCACAAAGAGATCAAAATACGGCCAGATACTTCTTTGACAATAAATAGTTCAAGAAGCTGGAGATCAAATACATCTTCAAGAGGTCTGTATCATCCTACATTCGAGAAATATGCTGCTCCAGCCCTCGAATTACGAAGATAATTAGGAGAGAACAATTAAGGGAGAAACATAATTATACTCACAGTTGATTATCAAAATATTTTTCTCCTATTTTGTGATTGCAGTTTATTTTTCATATGTTGAAAATTTGTTGCAAACAAAGCTGACACTAATGCAATGGCAACCCCTCATTGAGAAAATAGTGGCAAGAATTACATCATGGACAACAAAAAAGTTGTGCTATGCAGAAAGAGCTCAACTGATAAAAAGTGTGCTATTTGGGATTCAATCCTATTGGGCACAATTGTTTATACTACCAACAAAGGTGATGAAAACATTAGAAGGGTTCTGCGGGAGCTACTTATAGACATGCAACAATGTAATAACAAGGAAAGCATTGGTCACTTGGGACAATGTCTGTTCTCCAAAAAGTAGTGGAGGATGGAATATGATAAACTTAAGACTGTGGAACAAGGCAGCTATAATAAAGTTGTACTGGGATCTTGCAAGCAAAAAAGACAAGCTTTGGATAAGGTGGATACATACATACTATATAAAAGGACAACAGATGGATCATATAACAATGCCAAAATAAGCAAGCTGGATGGTGAGGAAAATCCTGAAAGCAAAGAATATCCTAGAGCTAGAAAGCATACATGTTTGCACAGGAAAGAGTGTCACTAATCAAATCTATCTACATTTGCTGGGAGAACAACCCAGGATTCCATGGAAGTGTATGATGTTTGGAAATGCTGGAAGACCAAAAGCTCGATTTACTCTTTGGCTACAAATGCAGAATATACTATTAACATCAGATAGGCTGAATAGATGGGGTATGGAGGTAGAGAGCAAGTGCAACCTATGCCACCAAGCAGAGGAATCTGGAGATCATCTCTATGTGAAATGTGACTACATGAAGGCAGTGATGAACAAGCTAATGCAATGGTCACATAGCCAAAACATAGACATAGACACAGGGGATTGGGAACAACATGTGCAGGAAGTGATCAGGAGAGCTAAGGGGAAATTACGAGAAGCTCAACTCTTCAAGATGTTATACACAGAGACAGTATATTGCCTATGGATTGAGAGAAACAAATGAATATTTGAGAAGACAAGTGTAGGATGGGAAAGAATAGCAAAGGAGATTGCATGTGTATGTTATGTGCGAGCTCTTCCTAGAATAGCTGAGATATTACATAGATATAGATTCTAATAGGAAGTCTAGGAAGAGATCTGAGATTCATTTGTAAATATGATAGCTAGTTGAGTTAGCTAGCTACGACTCTTTGTACACATATTACTGGTGATTAATACAAAAAATTAGTTACCCAAAAAAAAAAAAATTAATAAATATCGAGTATAAATAAGTTTTGTCTCTAAATAATGAGTATGAATAAGTTGTCTCTGACTATTAGGACTGCGATCCACATATATAGCACCAGTAAGTTCTTGTCTCTAAATACATGATTATCCTGATTTAACCATGTATGACTTCATTCATGTTATTTCCATATAAGAAAAAAGATCCTAAATTCACATGGGACATAGTTTCCATCAGCAATTGCTTTCCTTCTTAAATAGTAACTCAATTTTTTTCTGCCTTTTCAAGTGATTTGATTTGCAATTGTCTCGCACTTGATATTTATTGAGCAAAGAGTCTTCATTGAAAGAGCAAGAATAAATATTTTTTTATTGGAATAATGTATAAAAAATATATACTTTCTGGAGAAACTATATACAATTATATTTGTATATTGAGTAAATTAGTACCACTACTTTACACTATATAGCCTCCCTATCTTTATAAGGTAAGGGGTAAGGTTTGCGTACACCCCAAACCCCATTTATGAAAATATACCGGATTCGTTGTTGTTGTTGTTATTTTACACTATATATTTATTTCTAATAATAGTGGAACGTTTTGATAGCGAGTGCTTCTCATTTTAATGAATGTTATGCAACATAAATTTGAATTAATTTAGTTAGTATCTATCGAATGTCCGCTAGTTATTAGAAAAGCCAATAGTAGTACTTTGAATAATGGAGTGCAAAATTAATATTTTTTTAAATGAGTTAAAGTTTACAGTGTACACCTAAAATAATAAGGTAAATATATATATATATATATATATATATATATATATATATATATATTGCAACCCTGAGATGCAACGCTAAACATTGCTTAACTTTACCCTTTATTCAAAAAATGACTTTTGATTAATAAACACAAAACTGAATTACCACCTATGAAATTTACTCTCTAAAACACTCACGTTTTCTAGAAAGTAATCGTTTTCTTTTTTCGATAAACAATATACCATCAATTTTCTGAAAATGTCTCTTCCAATCAAACGCAAAATAAGTTCAGATCTTATTTTGTTTAAGTTTTTAACCATCCCGTATATATCTAAAATGCAATTGTCCAACTAGTTGAATTAGTGCTAGGCAGACTCAGAGGCGGATCCAAAATCTAGATTCTGTGGGTTCAACGTTTAAATTTTTAGCATTGAACTCATTGTATTTTCAAGGTTATGAGTTCAGACTTACCATTTGTTGCAATTTTAATAATTTTTTACACATAAATTTATAATTTACATCATAAGTACTGGATTTAGATGAACCCGGCGGCCAAATTCTACCTCCGCCCCTTGGTAGACTCATTAAAAAAGGCAAAATGTTTCCTATATCGAAATAATTCTCTATTTCTCCAACTCGAAACTGAGATTTCTTATAGAAACATACCAATTACAATCTCGCCACATCCCTTGAACTCGACTAAACAACTTGTCCAGCCAATCAGTGGTCCTTATTTTAGCCTTGAAAGGTTCATTTATACACCCAACAAAAAAAACAAAAAAAGGAAAGGTTCATTTGCATTATATTTATGAGATGAGATATGAATATGTACGTCAGCAGCATGCAAAAGGAGTAGATGTAGGGCTAAGATTAAAGGGAGGTAGGGCCAGATGACGTCCAGTAAAATCATTAATCCCGTTTTAGTTTGGTGAGAACTCCGTTATTGATGACATGGACCCGTTGTAGATGGCTGAAATGAAAGGCAACCAATGGTGTTGCGGTAGGTATAGTATATATTCGGGTCCCACTTCAAGTTCACATAATTACGGCCTATTTTCCTACATACGCTACGAGGGGAAAAAACAAAGGGCTGAAACTTTTTTTATTTTTTTATTTTTAAGAGGAAGCTCTTTCCTGGTCTCTTTCTCCTCCTTTTTTTCTCCCTTTGCTAAGTGGAAGAGAATAACGATGGACAAAAAGACTTATTTATCTGAAGTATTTAATGCTAAATTACATTAATTTACTAAATAAAGTGATAAATAGAGATGATATAAAGGACATATATATATCGTGCATCTTAGTTATTTTGTTTAAGCAAAGAGTCAAAGGTAAGATTTTATCAAGGATGAACTATGTAAAATAATAATAGATGTGTATACTAATTTTGACTTGAACTACAAATTTCATAGCAATATATGATATATGTACATGTATTTATATCTCATGAATTCGAACTCTTAATTTGGCTCTGGACAGACAGGATAATTAGAAAAAAGAAGTTACTTTTATTATTTCGTTACAAAGCAAAGTAAAAAAGAACAAAATCTCTTAATTTTGGAACGGAGGTGAAAGTTCAAAGGTAAAAAGGTCCAGCACACTATTGTAATATAAATATTGGAAAAAAATAAATTTACGAAACATTATGGAAGATTTATGAATAAATTAAAGGGTGAAAAGAATTATTCAGTTTTCTTTTTTCCCCAAAAAAGTGTCAGCTAAGGACATGAAAGGGAAATGTAGTAAGGAGCTCTAGAAACATCGGACAAGTGTGTTGTATCAGCAATATATAAATGCTTAGTAGTCAAGTTAAGCAAAGTGTATGAATAAAGTAGGTTGTAGAAAAGCGTAGAGTACATTTTTTCTGTAGTAGTATTAGTATTAGGGGTGTACATAGGTCGGGTTGGTTCGGGTTTCTTAATTATCATATCAAATCAATTGTGTCGGATTATTAAATCTAAAGATCAGATCAAACCAAACCAATAAAGTCGGGTTTTTAATCTCGGCTTTTCTCGGCTTTTCAGGTTTTTTCGATTTTTTCCCCATAAAATAGCACAAAATATTTCTTTAATCCTAGTAAGACATAACTATATAAGGTATGTTCAAGAAAAGAACATAAAATATGACATGAGCCATGACATTGTACTAAATATTCAAAAATAAAGATAATAAAATCGGATAAAATAAATAATATTAATAAGACATGATGAAGATAAACATAATCTAAAATTACTAAGTTGCTAAAATAAGTACGACTAATAAGTACTATTATTTACATGACTAAACACTACATAAAAATAAGTTGTGCATTTTATCTAAACCATGGAAAAACTAAAAAAAAAAAAATAGATATTGATCACGCTCAACTGAGTCTCACAAAAGACTATGCGGGCGTTGCAAATATAATCTGAGTATTATTGCCCAGAGTCGAACCACAGGGAACTAACCAATCAATCACTACTGTCAGATTTACTAAATTCACACAATTTGTTTTCCCAAACTTTTTGATTCACAAGGGTTGATTTTCTAACAACTAAGACTGAAGTATTAACAACTTAAAATTAACTAAACTTGATGTATAAACAGTAGGAATAAGGTCTAAGGTAATGGTTTCCCCCGTTGGTACTTTCCTTGGTTGTATATGTCTTATAACTATGATTTAGTTGTCTCTATCAATCATGAACGCTCCAGCTATCATAAATCTTTCTCAAGTAAGTATGATAGTTTAATAGACGCACTCTCTCCAGCTACGCTAGTTAGATTCTCAATACAGTTCACTTAGATTGCACCCGAGGTATCGTTATCTCTAATCCAACCTCTAAACCCTCGGTTATGACTCTCGTCTATACTCCGGGAGTGATGTTGTTCATACAATCACCTAAATATGCACTCTCTCTCAAGTAGATACATACTAAATAGGAACGGATAATTGAGGGCCCTTTCAACTAACCACAATCAAAACATGGATGAACAAATAGAGATTAACAACAGAATCCAACTATATTAATAAAACAACCAAGTCATTCCCAACGGGTTTCAGCAAAACCTTAGATTAAGGTATTTAGCTACTCATAACAATGGGGAAATAAACTACAAAAAGATTCATAATTGTAAATTGCAAGAAAATAAGAGAGAATAAGAATGATGATGTTTTGGGTGATCTCTCACACTTGTTTCTCTTGCAAAAGAATCTCCAAAATAAGCCTTCACCTAGCCTTGAGCGAGTTTCCTACATTTATAAGGATTTTACAAAAGCTTTCCCGAGTTGACACTTTGACCCCTCAAATTTCTGGACTATGCACGAGCCACCGCGGCCGCGGCTCCTACCGTGGACGCTTCTGTAGAAAACCGCGGCGCTGACCTCGGCTCTGACCGCGGGAAGCACTAAAGGTGTTTTTTTCTCCGCGTCACTTCTCTCATTTGCTCTTCTGCATTCGGGTGCTTCTTTTTCTTCACGTTTTTTCCTCCAAACACTTCATTTTTGCTTCCTCGCATCTTGTATTCCCTGCGAAACCAAATAGCATCAATTAAAGCATTTTATTGGCAACTTACATTACAAAACAACAACAAAGCATGGGTAATTATGGCGTAAATAACAACTATATAGCCTATTATCAACACCCCACACTTAATTCATTGCTAGTCCTCGAGCAATCCACCACACTCCATAAAAATTCATTCCCTATGCTTTTCCCTCAACGACTCACACCATGAACATTTTACAAGAGTTACACCTAGTAGTGAGCAGCTTTTACCTCAAGAATCAAGTTTTTCGTACCCTGCAACATCTGCACTTACTCAAACCACTCTATACAATAGTCAAGA